GATCTGTACCCTTTATGATTCCAAACCTGTAGATTCCCATCCCATCCCATCCCATCCCATCCCCTCTGGTTTCCATCTTCCTTCTATCAGTCAGTATTTCGTGCCAAATGAGCACACCCTTCTTTGGTTTCCTCTGGTTCCTTATAGAGCAGAGCTGGGCAACTTTTCTGTGGCTGAGGATCACCCTTGACAGTTTTTAGGCCACTCTGATAAGGCATGATACAAAGTGGACAGATCTATATGGATAGAGCCAGGATTTTTTCTAGGCTTCCTAGTTTTCGAATGGAGTTTTTCTATTCCAAAATGCTGCCTGCAGGTTTTCCACCTAAAGATTACATGCTGGCAAAAAAATAGCAGAAGGTAGAAAAAAGGAAAAGGAACTGAACAATATATTTGTTCATATAAATAAATATGATAAATATAAATATGATACATATGGTAAAATTAAAATAAATTGTTCATATAAATAAATATGATACAGATGATAAAAAATAGATATAAATAAAAGAGTGAGTTTGGGCCAGTCACTCTCTGAGCCCAAACCACCTCACAGGGATGTTGTTGTGGAGAAAACAGGAGGCAGAAGTATTAGGCATGTTTCCTGCCTTGAGTTGACCTACACACACACACACATACACACACACAAATAAATAAATAAATGGTGTAAAAATCTAATCATCATCATCATCATCTCCAAGGAAATCCTAGGTTATTAACAGAATCAGAGAGGAAAAACAGCAAGGAGAGATGAACTTTAAGAAACTGGCATTTATATTAATATATGTTCAATTTTCCTGTGGGACTTCTGGGTCTCCTTGCTTTTCTAGCTTTATATATATTAAATGACCACGTATAGTATGAATATTTTATGCATATTAATTACAATGTTTGATTACTAATTTGTTTAGATCATAAACTGTTCATATAAACATTTCCTATGCTGAAATGGATTCACAATAATCTTGCAAAAATATAATCTATGAAACTCAATAAAATTGAATGCAACGTAAGATTGATTAAAATCTCTAAATGAAATCTTTATATTCACATATGCTACCCAAACCTATAGATGCATGTTTTGTTTTCATAAACAAAACAGCTTTAATAAAGATACTAATCATGGTTTTGATATTTGCTTTATTAGTGTCCTGAAATTTAATTTCTTTTACTTTCTGTTTTAAGTCTACTGATGCATTTATAAGATTGGCAAAGTTCAGCTTACACATTTGAGAAACTCTAGGCAACAGCAACAAAAAAAGGGGGGGGTTGGTGAAGATGGCAGAGAAAGTAGCCCCTCCTACTTAAAGACCTTGTTGTTCAAGGCCAGGTCAGTTGTCAAAAAAATCTGTTATCCAGGATTTAATCCTGGGTGAAATTGTGGATCAGGATCTGGCTGAAAGAATAAAAGGTGGGCTATTCCATGGTATAGGAAGCTATAAATGGCATTGGGACTGATGATTTCCACCAATCAGGACCCAGCAGCTTTCCAGAAAAGCCATCTTTTCACTAGCTTCTGGAAATGCATAAAAGTGGAAGGTCACCCTCACCTTGTGGGGCAAGCTATTTTATAGGAGGGGTGCTCCCACAGAGAATGCTGGCTTTTGGGTCCCATCCTGCTGTATTTCACATTAGTGGGGACTTTCAGCATGTATTCTCTGTTCATGCAGACTGGGTAGATAGAATCTGTCTGGAATAGTAGGTTTCATAGATACAGTACTCAGGCTTTGCACTCTACAGGGCTTTATAGGCAATAACCAACATCTTGAAGGGCACTTGGACACAAACTGGTGGACCATGCAGCTCCCATAGCAAAGGTATTATGTGATAGTAACAAGACTGTTCCATAAGGGTATAGGCCACTGAATTTTGCACCACTAAATTTCTAGGTGGTCTTCAAAAACAGTCCCATATAAAGTGAATTATAGGAATCCATATGGGAGGTGACATAGGCTTGAGTGACCATCTTCAGCGCGCTCTATTTTAAGTACAGTTACAATTGATATACCAGCTAAAATTGGGCAAAGGCCCTTTTGGCCATAGTCTCCAACCGCTTTCTAGCAGGAATCATGAGTCCAGGTGAGCCCCTAAATTGCAAGCCTGCTCTCCATAGGGAGGGACAGCTCCCGAATGGTCACTTCTTGCTGGGCTTAGGTCTGAGCCAGTTTCTCTCCATCCTACCCTGACAAAGTCCAGATACTTGGTCAGAACTTGTCCTGCATCTCCAATTTGGCCCAATGGGGAGATATCTAAGCAGGCAGGTAAACTAGGGACAATATTGTTATACAGTACTGTCTTACCTTGCCACCTAACTGTCCCTCTTCCTCAGCTAACCAGAGTGACCTCAGGTATGATGTTAGATTATCTAAATCTCCTATTCTAAGTAATTTCAATGCCTGTTTTGAGATTAGTAGTAGTTCAGAAAACACTATCAGAAATCTTAGTTTTGTCTCCAGGTTAAGTAGGAGAGAGAGATCCTCCCATTATTGATTGCTTAAGCTCTGTTGTAAGAAAACAAGCTAAACTTAAATCCATATAAAACAGAGATGCTGTTGGTCAGTGGGGAGCTGGAGTCCAACCTGTGCTGGAGGGGGTTTCACACCTCCTGAAAGAGCACATGATCCTTGATCCTCAGCTGCCACTGGATTGGCTGTGGTGGCTGTGATAAGGATTGCTTTGCACAGTTATGACTCAGTCACCAGCTGCAACCTTTTCTGAGCCAGCCAGATTCGGCAAATTGTGGAAGCCATTTAACCTTTAATAACTTTGTTTTAGTATTGACTACATCACTTAGCATTGGCTTATTAACCATAGTTTATCATTTTGTGGTAAGACAGCCTGTGACTATCTGCCCCCTCAAGTTTTCCTAGGAATTCCTTCAGAATTTAGCTGCAATCTCCATAGTAGTCAAGGGTATAAGGAAATGGATTTTCCAGGCAAGTAGACATTATCACGAACTTTTCCTGCTGTCATGTATACCAGATCCATTCATTTTGCAAAGAATCCACTCCTCGTGGAGCCCCTAGGTCCGGGCATGTGTACAACTCAGTCCCTTTCTCATGCAGTTTTTACCCCTAAGTGTAGGTAGGGAGATGGCTGTGATACTTGTATGTGTGTAATACACATGTGAAGAAGAGTGATACAACTATGTGCATTTTTGGACTCTCCCTGTAAGCTTGGGTCACTTTACTATTAGACCACTTGTAATCGCTTAGCATCACAGTTAAAGAACCTCTTTAATCCCTTCTGCTACAGACTCCATTAGGATTATTCCTACTTCTGCTAAAATAGCCGTTAACAACAAATAAAAGCTCAACAGGACTAGCTAGTTTCGGCATGTTACATATTTGCATACCATGCAGCCTTTCCTAATCTTGGATCTCCAGATGTTACTGGGCTACGCAAGAGTGTCCGCAAGGAATGAGTCGTAAAAAAACAGGTGGAGCTTCGTTCGCACCGCCGCGGTCACCATCTTGACTTTTTTGACCATACCCTGCGAACACCGTGGACAGCTTCCGTTATCCCCGATAAGCATGATCGCTCGTAATCCAGCAAACACGGGGACACCAAGTTGATTATAATAAAAAAAAGGAAGGCTCAGAAACCCTGCTAAATTATACAGGGCTCTAGCCAACGCCGTCTTAAACATACTAAAATGAGTAAATGTTTCAATTTCCAAACAAAGGAACTCAGCGCAAGCAGAAGCCAAGTGTCACAAAAGATAACGCCGGTGTAAACACAGAGGCCAGACAAACTCTGTTTAATCGAAAGTTCCGCTCGCTTTGGAGGGATTATTTCCATGTGAATCGGCGCGATTCTAATTGGTCCCCCGTCTCCCTGGCGAGCACCTTTAAGATGCCACCCTCACGGCATCTCTCCTCGGCAGCAAAAGCTTACGGAGGCTCCCTGGGATTTAGCTCCACGCGGACGCGCCACAGGTTCGGGGAGGGGGGAAAAACAGACACAAAGTGGCACGCCCTTTATCTCTACAGTTTCAAATAGTAAGGACCGTAATGGGCTTCCCAGGCTAAGGTTAGCGATACGGGACTGCGTAATTTGTCTCCCTGCAAACAGTGCTCCTTTATGCGCGTAGGGTGGAGACCAGAAGAACCAAGCCCTTCCTAGGCCGTGAGTGAGGAGAAGCCAGCTCTTCCCCTTCCTGCTCCCTCCTGGGGTGTTGCCTCTTGCCTATCGTCGTTGTTAAGCGTTGGATGGCTCCTCCCAAAGGCTGCAAAAGCCAACGGTATTTTTAAAGACTTCGCTGTAGCGTGGGGCCTTTAGGGTTTTTTTTCCCCCTTTACGATCGGCCCTTGTGTGCATCGTGTTTTGGCTCGCTTCTTGCTATTTATCCCCATTTTGTTGCCCTCCAGACTAAAAGTTCTTCTTAGACCGCGCAATGTTTCGCTTCCTGAGGGGCTTTGTGCTCCCGGAGGCTGTCTGTGAGGCGCCCGACAGTAATTCGAGATACGAAAACCTCTTCAAAAAACTAGATCGCAACGAGGACGGTCGAGTGGACATTGCTGAGCTACAAAGTGGCCTTAAAGAGTTGGGCATCCCTCTGGGGGATGACGCGGAGAAGGTGGGTGCAAGGCATGAGGCTTGATTAAGAGGAGGAGGGAAAAGAAGTATGCAAATTTCTGGATTGGGATCCCTCGGAAAGGAGAGTTCTTGGAAGCCCGAAGGCTGTCGTGTAAACCTTCACTTAGCTCAATTCAATTATTTTTTTTTTTTAATATGGTTTTGGTTACTATATAAAGAGAGTACGCCGGCCCTCCTTCCACTCGTCACCATTCATTCCATCTGGGGATTGTTAACACGGATTGCTTTGTTCCTTGGGGGAAGCCCATGCTTTTCCTCTAGATTCTTCTTTCCTTATATTTCATGCTGTCACGTGGCTCTTTGCCCTAAAGGGCATAGGCAGTTCCCATTCACATGGAACTGAGGAAAGGTCGACTCAGGTTGTGAGGACTGCTCCTTCGTTCTGTTGGACTGCAAGTAAAGTGCAAACTTTCCCCAGCCCTTAAAAGCAGGGGAGCAGGAAGAATAAGACAACTGCAAGAAAAATGAGGTGTGTGAGGTGACAGAGGAGGGGATAGTTCAAGGAAAAGAAAGTGACCAGTATATATAAATTTTAAAAAAGAGATTTGATGGTAGCCTTTGTGTCAGCCTTAACAGTCATTCTGAATTTGTGACAAACTGAGTAGCTCCTTGATCAGATGTCAAGATGCAAACATGTAAGGGCAAAGTTTGCATTGTGACATTACCGTGTGTTACCATTTTGACGCTTGCTGTGGAAAGGACAGGAATTGGAGATACTAAAAAAGTGTCAGGAAAAAATACTTTGAAATGTGTCACAGAAAACTAGAAATAACAGAGGAAATATATAGAAGATATTCAGAAAAAGGAAGGATGAAATAGGAAAAAAAAGGCTGCCAGATTCTGCACAATGTACAAAGTACATTGGAATATGAGGAACAGGATTTCCAGGAAGTTGCTTTGAGGCTGACTTTAAAAAAAAAAAATTGTAATCAAATAACCTTAGCTATGATCCATTCTCTGTCAAAAATTCACCACCAGCCATCTCATTTCCTTTTTCTCCTGGCAACTTGTAGAAAAAAGCACATACAATTCATCTTTATTACATTCTTGAGTGCTTATTATTTTGGAGCATAGCAGCATTTCACCATGCACATTATTGTTCTTTTCATCTTTCATAATGTCCTTAGTCTTGTGTCTGAAATCATAAGAATGAAGTAAGTGAACTTTCCTTTGACAGTTTCATGAGGTTTCCTAGAGACCTGTTTTAACAATTTAACACATTACATAGAGACAAATCTGTTCAGTCAAAGATGAGCTTCAGTAAAAAGTTCAGTCAAAAGAGAGTTTAATGAATCATGGCTTGCTGATAAATATACTGGTATGATGAATGTGTTTGGAAACTTATTTGTGATACGTGTACTTTATACTTGCCTGTCTAAAGTGTACACTAAAACAGATAGATAGATAGATAGATAGATAGATAGATAGATAGATAGATAGATAGATAGATAGATAGATAGATAGATAGATAGATAGAGGCATATAGGTTGAGTAGAATACAAAAATATGGAGAAGGGAACATTTTGTGTTAGAAGGTTTCCAGGAGAAACTAAATTCATAATGTTTAGTAGCCTACTTAGAGAAATAACAGAACCAGTGATGGCCCTATCTGCCACTTGAGGCATAAAATCCGAATGATCTCTTATAAAAGTATAATAAATGCATGATTCTTTTTATTGTTTGTGGTTTGTTTGTGCAGTTGGCCCTGAGTACTACAGTATATTTACTTAGTGTAAATCTGTATGTCACTAATTTACGCCACCTATGCAGCACTTTAAATACTGTTTGCGGTTTTCCTAAGGCTAAGCATGTCATTCAAGAAGAAGAGACCCAACAAGGAAGGTATGCTCTGAGTCCCCTCTATATGGCAATATCATTTGGTGGGACTCAGAAATCATGTCTTCTCTATCCTGGCCCCTGCCTCATGGAAGAAGCTTATCCACTGAGATTAGGACAGCCCTGACCCCGCTGGCTTTGAAGAAGGGGCTTTTTCCATGGGCACTGGGCTGGGGTGTGAGTCAGTCTGAAATGCCTTAATATGGAATGATTATGGGTTGGCCTCAGTTGTGTCATGGATTTGTTCAGTATATTGTTTTGGAATTCATTTTAATCCAATGATAGCTGCCCAGAGTTGCAGTTTGCTGTATAAATTGATTAAATAAATAAAAGTAAAGAACAGTCACTACGTAAATTTAGCATGAACCAGACATTACAACCACCAGTTTGGTTTCAGTTTTGCTTTTGTGCTACCTGGAAATGGCAGCTGCTTCAGATTAATACAATATGCTTGGTCTGACAAAAGCCACAGAATGCAGTTAAAAGAAATGTATAAGACAATGATAAGATGGTGGAATGCTTATTTCCATACCCAGACAGAGTAGGCATGTGAACTAGTGTGAAGCAGAATATGTTCTATACCAACAGGAATCTCAGCTTTCTGAACTTTCTGTACTAATGTAACCAAACCTGTTGTGTTCTGCTATCCTCCACAAAATATCCTTGCAGTTCATACATAGATAAGTTGCAAAAATAATTTTCTGGCAAAATTTTGCAATGCTTTCATATTAGGAATAGCAAAGGACCTACAGGTCAGTTAATATGAATGAACATGGTGGAACTAGATGGTGATTTAGATAGCATGCTGAACTAGAAATTGGGGTTCACAACTGATTATAATGGAACTTGAATCAGTAACTTTGTAATGAATGTTTTGTTTGTTTCAGTCTCAAGCCGCTTCTGGTTTCATTCATTAAAGTTACTTAAAAAATAAAAATGTCTGCCATCAATAGAATCCCTTATTTGGGCTGCAGAAATTTGGACATTTATTCGATGGCAGCAAAGACATACAGAAAACTCTAAATTTGCTGTTGTCTAGTCATTTGATGGATCTTTGCAGCCCAGATATGATATCACGAATTTATCAGTGGCACATATCCCATTAATAGAGTATTAGTATTTCATTAAGGTAATTAGCGTTGATGTTTGAATTGATTTGATTGATCATGTGATCAGCTAAGTAAAGAATTGCTGGGTTTGATTTATTAACACGAGTCAACTTTCATGTTTTCAAAGACAGGGAAATTCAGTGCATGCTATTTTAGGTTGTTAACATTTTATAACATTACATAAGCTTCGTTTGTAGCAGTCACCATTTGGCAGTCCCTTGGTTAAGAACGAGTTCTGTTCCTAAGTCTGTCTTTAACTCGTATTTCTATGTAAGTCAGAACTTGTACTTACAAATGGGCTGCTGCCTGTTGCTAAAAATGGTGGACGACATTCTCCTTCCTCGAGCCGATGTACTGCTGAAGCCACGCAATGTTCTCATGAACCTCTGAAAACCGCTGAAAACAGACTGTATGTTAAAAATGTGCTGCTTCAGTGGTTCATGAAAACATTGCATGGGTTCAGCAGTTTGCCTGCTTGAGGAAGGAGAATGCCATCTGCCATTTTTAGCAATAGACAGCCCGTTTGTAAGTATGAGTTGTCCATAAGTTGGACATTCTTAGCCCTGGGACTGCCTGTACAGATATAGTAATGATGTGCTGGATGAGCTATTTAATCAACTGCAATTGGCACATTTATTGTTTTACTGTATATTATATTTAGTTTAACTCATAGTCATATTTGTGGATACCATTCTGGTAGCAACAAAGCTGAATGTTCCAAAACATTTTAATTAATAAATACAAGTGGTACTGTATTTACCACTTTTTGTATAAATCTAATGTATTTACAAATTCAGTGCTTTTCTTTTGTATCTGAGCCTACTGTCAGATAAATTGAATGAAACCTGTTTTTTCATACTTAATTTAAAAGGATTTAATTTTTGTTAGTTGGCATACTGGTTTATATAAGGCTAAGTTTTGTTCAATATATATTCTATCCTTTCAAGAAAAAAAGCTGGAACTTTCATTAAGCTTTGCAGGCACTGCCTTTTTCAAGCGCTGACTGCTTCCATGCCTGGTTATTTTGCGGATAAACTCAGGAACTAGTGGATTACATAACTATACTGGCTGGGTATTGTGGAGATATTCTCCATCCCATCTGGAGAACAGCAGTTTGGGCAAAGCTGGTTTGGCAAGTTTTTAAGAGAGGTAATGTACGAGATAGCCAGAGGTGGAGAACATTCAGATGTTGTCAAAACAGGCCACTTCAGCTTTGTGTTGCTTTTTGACTGCTTTTTTGTCTTGTGTATGAAGACAAGAGTCCCTTATTGCACTGCTAAAATGAAACCATGCCTACTGAAAAAATGTGATGTCAGAAAAAGTCCTTTGATAATATTTGGTAAACAGTTAAATATTTAACAGCACTGACATTTATATCTTACTCCTGGCTGGCTACAGTGGGAAGCAATCCATAATGCAGCTTTTAACCATTTCATTTATAGGAATGTATAGGCCTTATCTAGTACTGTTTTGCTAAAATATTTGTTTCGTTTATCATTCATTTACCTTTCCTAGATATTTTGTATGCCTTTAGTTACTGACAGTCTATAGAAATAACTGTATCTTAAAAAGTGAGAACCCGCTTGAAATTATACACAACATTAACAATACATATTCAATATACTTTTAACAGAAAATTTTCAGGGCTGGAGACACTAATCAGGATGGAAGACTGGACTTTGAAGAGTTTACACGTTATCTTAAAGACCATGAGAAGAAAATGAAACTTGCATTTAAAAGTCTGGACAAAAATAATGATGGTAGGATCCAATTTGCTGTATTAAATGTATATGTCAAGAGTGCAAAAATAAATATGTATAACTAAATAATAAAGAATTCCAACTCTGAGTTGATCCTGTATTTCAAAATACTCAGTGTAATCTTATATAAATTCATAAAATGTACACATTAATTCATGAATGTGTTTTCATTCAGTTATTAAGAAAAGTGAGATATATGTATGAAGGAATCGTTACTAAAGATCTCTTTAATTCATCTGAAAATGCCAGTTGAAGTAAAGAATTCAAATTCACATTAATACTTGTTGATTTAGAAATTAGTACTTTGAGTAAGACATGGAAACCCTTCAAAACTGAAGCTACAGCTGTCATGAGGTTGTGTTTAAACTGGTCTTGCTGTGAAGCTTTGAGAGAAGAATAACTTTGATTTGTAATGCAAAGCAGATAGAGGTCTGTTATACAAAGCAGCAGTGTATTGTGTTTGCTGTGAGGAAGTGCTTACTTGCAGGGTAGGCACACACCAAATGTTGCTGAACTACAACTTCGAGGAGCCCCAGTCAGCTACTGGATGATGAGGGGTGCTGGGAGTTGAAGTTCAGTAATATCTGGAGAACAACAGATTTCTTTGCTTGCTTCAATCAGAGGGTTTTTCTTGGCCAAAGATTCTTAACCCTATTAAGATTGCAGCAGAATTTGTAATTGGGAGGGACTCTGTTCCAAGCAATAGTCTTGAATTATTCTTGGCAGCATCACAGTTGTAGAAAAAGGGACTTGTGAGACTTATTACTGAAAACAGTGGCCCGGGCTATTTTCTAGCAAAGAGATTTACCACAGACCTTCACTGTACAGCAGAACTGCCAGCCAAGAAGGGTTTTGTGGAAGTTCTCCTTGTTCGTTAGGTACTCTAAAGAGGACGTTACCCAGATATTGTGCTGAGTATTTCTGAAGAACTTATTGTATTTTGATGAGAGCATATGTGCTGCTGGGGAAGGAAGTTCCTTTCTCTATGCCATAGCTATTCATTAGTGTTTGACTAGCGTGTAGGGGGCAGAGATTGTAGGATAGGATTTCACACATCCCCCCCCTGCATCACTTGTCTTGTTCACCTGATCAAAAAGGATAAAAATCAGGGGGAAAAAATCCTGATCCCCCTTTCCTTATTCTTCAGGTTTGTTAGTTTTTTTAAAAAAGCATTAGCTTAGGAATGGAGAGATTAAAGCTGAAATCGCTCTCAGATGAGAAGCATACATGAGTGTGTTGTAAGGCTAAATAGGGGTGGGAGAGAGCCATCTATGTTGATTTAAAATCTTTGGAGGAAAGGCAGAATAATAAGGCTAGAAAATGGGAATTCATTTTCTCATTAAAAATTGAAGTATTTATTTATTATTTGCTCTGCTTAGGAAGTACTGTAAATAGCAACAATTAAAAAGGTGTTAAAATCTTCCTTATGTTCCAAACCTAACCATATATTGTGACATATTTGCCTCAAATTTCACGTGATACCATGGTTTGTGGCATCAGCAGTTTTAAGCACTTGTGATGTTTCAGTGTCTAAACACAGAATATATTTCTTTTAAAATTTATTTTTATAATGTAGTATTAAGCTGTAACATCAGACTTCTCCAACCTAGTGCTCTCCAGATGTGCTGAATTATAACACCCATAATCTCCATCCAGCATAGATGTGGATTTAAATTACTGCTTAGCTATGAATTTCACTAAGTGACTGGTTCACGATCACTCCATTTCAATGGAACATACTTTATATGGCTATTAAAACATACCTTATACAGCTATTAAAACAAATGCATGGTGAAGAGGTGAGCCATATACATTGGTCTGAGAGTGCCTAGTTACTTAAAGTTAATGACATATACGGATAATAGTATAATAAATAAGTGGAAATCTGTGTCTGGGAACTATAACCAGGTTGTGTCAAAACTCTATCAAAACTCTGCTAATGATTAAGGAAATCTTGTTGCAGTTCAGCATGTCAATTACAAGTGCAAGAAAAGAACTTATCCCCTGACATTTCATTCTTGATTCTCTGTAATATATATCAGTATTAAAAATTCTAAAATCTGGATCAGTTGACTTCAAGTGGCAGACGTTGAAAAGTCATTTTCACTGTCCCTTTCTCTTTTTTTGAAGGTGTAATTGAAGCCTCAGAGATTGTTCAGTCCCTGAAGATACTGGGCATAGATATTTCTGAAAAGCAGGCAGAGAAGATTCTGCAAAGGTCAGCAGCTATTATTATGCCTGGTTATTGGATTGACTCATGAGAAGGCCTGGCATGTCCCTTGAAAAGTAAAGTCACATGTTGGATGCGTCCAATACTCTACCCCATTGTAGTAGGATAGCTTTGAATATTAGTAATGACATTGCTTTGAGGAAGGAGCCAAGGATAGATCAGGATTTATTGAGACAACTTGTGGGACAGTTTGACAAGCTTGAAAGAATCTTGGAGGTATCCCTGATATCTGTGAGATGCAACCCCCTTCCTTAGCCTAAGGCAAAAGGAAGGATGGGAGGACGTAATATTTATAGAACTAGCCTCTGATTGCAGGAAGCCCCTCTGCCTCTTGGTCTGGCTGGGAGGCTTTTCCAGGCTGTTTCCAAGGAAATGAATGGATGTACAATACATGATAGTATTGTTCAGAGCTCTCCAGGGACAGGATTTTGTATTAATGAGAAGTAAAAAGAAATGTTTCTTTTCTACTCTCCCCCCCTCCATCTTCTTGAAATATTCTCTCCCTCTAATAAATTGTTATTCTCCCTATTTGTACATGACAAGAAACTCTTGCTTATGGAATCTTCTATATGAAACTTTCCTTAGACCGATAAGGGGGATCAAAAACAAATAGTGAACTGCTATGTAGAACCTTTGAAAGGCAAATGGGATAACAGGTTGAAGCGCTTTGCACATTAAAGCTAACATTAAAGATTGGCAAATAAAACAAGAGTTTAGAATGTGAGTATATGTATAATGTGCTTTGAACATTATTAAGGCAAAAAAGTTAGCAGAATCCACTGTGAAATACTGGTTATTTCATTTTGAATTTTTAGCATCGATGCTGATGGGACAATGTCAGTGGACTGGAATGAATGGCGAGATCATTTTCTCTTTAATCCTGCTACAGACATTCAAGGAATTGTCCGTTACTGGAAACATTCCACAGTGAGTATGGTTTGCATTTTTATTGCAGTCCTGATCTGGACTATATTTATTTAAATAACTTGTGCATTAGCTTATTCAGTGATTATCCCTGGCAGCTGTTTTTTTTAGTTAAAGTAGAAATTCTTGACAA